ATCTACGTGGGTGTGGCAGGGTTGTCCTAGGAAATCACTGTACAATTTGCTTAAGGCAGGGAGCTGTGATGTCAAAGGGGAGAATTGTTTATCAGCCAGTCGGCCTGCTCTAGATTCCATCCTGCCTTTTCTGCTTTTTTCTGAACCAGGGTTTGGCAACATTTTTAGGCAGAGTGCCAAAAACACCTGCAACCTTGACTTGTAAGATGTTGCCGTTCCAGGGGTAGGGGGGCAGGGGAGTCGTGAGGGGCCCTCTTCTTGTGGCAGCGCAGCCCCAGGCCCCTTTCCTGCCATTTGCCCAGAGGCACACTTGCGCCTGCCACCACCAACAAGCTGGGCCACTGCCCTATGAACCCCAGTGCAGCTGCTTGCAGCCTCTTGGCCACCTGTCACAGATGACCCAGGCTGTAGGTGGGCCACTGCTGCCAGCCTCAGAGCCTATGTTGCTCACAGCAGGCAGCGGGAAAGCTGTAAGCAGCCACATTGGGATCCACATAGCCCCAGCCTGGTTCATTGCTGGCAGTGGGTGCTCACGCACCTTGAGGTGGATGGCGAAGAAGGGGCCAGGACTGCACTGCCACAACAAGGATTGGGCCCCTCCTGGCTTCCCCATGTGCTCCAAGCTACAGAGTGCCAAGGAAAATGCCTTTGGAGCCACTTTCTAAACCCTTTAGTTTTGGGAGTGACAAGCACTCATTGCCTGCTAATTGCTGATGACTTCTAAATACCATTCAAAGGCACCTCAAACTGGGCTGTCACTTAGAAGCTGCCAAAGGATGAGGCTGAGTGGGGTGGGGGGGTGCTAATTATATCCCAGCAGTAAAGGTTTAGGATACATAAATTTAGGTGATATGCCTTTGTTACCTACTTTTATTATCAGGATGGCGATCCAGAAAGGATTCTTTGTTTGGAATATAACCAGGAGAAATGCTTTAAACAATGATGTGTTGCTGGCCCTGGGGTGTCCTCTCCTCTGCTTCCACAGACCTTGCTACCTCACTTCGCACTTTTCTCTGGCTGCTAAAACACACGTTAGGGCTGGGAGGATAGTCAACAGGGGTAAGCATCTTGTGTGCAAGTCCCTCAGCATCAGTGCAATGGCAGCTTGTTATGTTTGTCCAAGGCACTTGCAAATAAATAACTTAAACCACAAGCGTAGACTGGCAGGCACATAATGTATTGGAAACATAAAGTAACATTATACCTGCGTGGGCATTAACAGATTCAACAGAAAGTAACTTTAGATTCACATGTGCCGATTCAACACATTCACATACCTCTCACAGCCTTACTGCAAATGTATGATCCCCTGTTCCAAAGAGGTGCCTGGCACTTTCCTTTCTCTGTAACTCACCCACTCATCCATTTGGGTCCCTGGGCTGAGCAAAACCTTGGTCAGCAACTGGCTGTCTTCAGTCCTAGGCTGCTTGATTCCATTTTGCATTTGTACCATAAACTGCAGAAATGAGTTATCTCTTTTTAAAGCATCAACCACTGCATTTCTCTATTCTTTACTGTTCTCCCCCCAACCCCACCCCTCCGAAAAGGAAAAAACCTCAGGAATCCCCAGAAATCCACTTAACCAGGATCCCTGTATCATGGAGTTATCCATTTAAAAAAAATCCCAATTTCTCTGATTAAAACCCCCCAAGTCTACGTTTTTCCACAATTAAAATTGAATGACACCCCCCCGCATTTTAAAGCAATTTGGAATCCTACCAGTGCCTCAGTCATTATAATAAATTTTAATGCCATTATATTTTGGTGTTTGATTTTGGTTTTTTATCATGGAAAATCAGAGTTCTTTCTCCCCCTCC